CCAATTTCGTTCACGTTTAGAGCTAAATCACATTATGGTTAAGAGATCTACTTAATTTTATTCAAATATCACATATACATATGTCGGTCAAATAAACGGTTCAATATCAGGTGGAAATTCAAATATCGGAAATATTGGGGTTTGGAAAATACCTGAAAAATATCGAATATTACAATATATATTCGCTTACTCTTGCTAAGACTTTTGTATGAGGACTACGAGAAGCATTGATTTTACCCATTTTGACACAAGAATATTATGGGGAAAAGATCATCTCTATACTGAGATACAGGATTTCATCTAAAAGTGGGCGGTGCCACGCCCATTGTTCAATTTTAAAACCGAACACCTAAAGTGCTCCTAACATATTCATTTAGTGAGTTATTGCACTTTAAGTAGTTTTACCATAACCGTTATATGGGGAGGAGCCGGGATATCGTCTATAATCATTTTCCCACAGTTGGAGAAGTTGCCTAAATTATTTTTCCTGGGCAAATTTTGTTGATATAGCTTTAGTGGTTTGTAAAGTATATACATTGAACTTATTAGGAGGCATGGCTTAGTCCACCCAAAACCAGAGATGCCCTCTTTATTACGATTCGCTATACCATGTTGTGGAATTTTATTTCTTTTAACGGAAACGTCTGTTCGATGATTTATTTATGATGCCAAGGAACACGTGTACCATTATGTTTCATTAAGATATCTCAATTTTTACTCAAGTTATCGCTGGCACAGATGGATGGACAGACAGACAGTCACTCGGAATTTAATTCGCCTCGTCATCCTGACGATTTCTACATGCCTTACTCTATGTCTATCTCAATTAGTTTTAGGTATTACAAAAAACCGTAAGGCAAACACAATTATTATACTATAGCAGCATGTTGAGAGAGTCTCAAAAATTTTCAGAAAACTTAAAAGAGTCTAAACTCTTATTAAAATATATAATATGTATCAACGTATTTCAAACAAATTTAAAACTAAGAAGACAAAGCTTCTGAAGTAATTCAAACAGACAGGTCGAGTCAAATTCATAAATATTTCAAAGAAGATTACATCTAACATATATAACTGGGCTATATATTTCATCAAGATTCTCTACCTACATTCTATCAACTATCGAAAACGGCCAACGTGTATTTTTCACGAACAAAAAAGCGTTTGGTTATGTTATACATCCACCTAAAATTACGCTCACCGAATTTTTTTTGAATTGTGTAATCGTGCGGATGTTTTTGGTGCCTTTACACCAATACTCCTCTATTCAGAAGTACCACTCATGATACTCATGGGCTCAATCGGAAAAATGTATACCCCGCAAACAAGGCACACCAGTTGAGGCAGGCCCCGATTTATTCAAATCAAATAATTTGGATTGTGTATATACAATCAATCCAGGGCAGACTGACGGTATAAAGATGCATGCCTTGCATTAAGCATGCTAGAAGATGACAATCTTTGGGACAGTATGCTTGCTGAAGCAGCATTATACTGCACAATTTTAGGAATACAAATTCGTCTACTATTTGCTATAGTACCGATGACATGTTTTGCGGTACGATCACAAATGTTGTCGGATAATCACAAAGATTCGATGACTAATGATATATTGTACCGACATTGTACAAGGTGCAACGATCTCACGATATCACTCAATGACGCAATGTACAATGAAGCATTGATTGCGGATCATTGCATTGTCATTGTGAATTTACCAATTAGTCATTTCGGTACGAGTTCACCAAATCGAAGTGCATCTGTTTCAATCAACACATATATAATTCGTCAGCCAATGTTTCCAGCAATGTTCCACTCCTAAATGATGAACAAAACCAATTTCCGAGCGCGTTACGAGTATGCTGGCAGTTTCGGCAGGGCAAGGGAAATTCTTTTATTTTTTGGAGGCTCCAGGTGGAACTGGCGAGAATTCCATATTTAGCTACTTCTTGCTGAGATACCATCAAAAAATAGCATCATCTTGACCGTTGCATAATCTGGCATTGAGCAACTTTATTAGATGCCATTGGATAGAAAATTTTAAAAATCTTGCTGTAAATTATCCAATTTAGTTTTTGAATTCACTGGATATTCCGGACATGCCACGGCACCATTTACAACTGAAAGTTAGATCTCCGGTTATTTTGCTTCGGAACTTGAACCCAGCATGGCTTATCAATGGTACAAGATTAGTAAGTAAAAAAATTAATGAAAAACAATAATAAGCCACCATTTTGAATAAAAGACCCGAGGTAAAAATGTGATGATGTGCCAATTGAATTTAAACGCTCTCAATTCCCAATTAGATTGACATTCGCAATGGCGATAAATAGCTCATAAAGCCAAACGTTGTCTATCGTTGTGGCTTAGATTTGGGTGCCCCATGCTTTTCCCATAGGCAACTTTATGTGGTATGTTCTCGCGTGAGCAAACCATTCAATTTGTTTGTATTCGCTAATGAAGAACTGATCAAAAATATTGTACTCTCCATTCCGATGAGATATTAATCTTTGTTTAGTTTTAATCGAAATATGTATATATATGTAGCTTCCGATAATTGTAGTTTAATACATATATAATATATTTTATCTGCATTCCTCTTTCAATTATAATTGCATCACCCACACACTTATAGTGTGAGTTATTTTTAAAAATATTTCCTAAAAATGACGTACATATATGACAAAACAACTTGTCGCGGGTCAGCTAGCATATATAAATGATCAGTGTGACGAACTGAGCCGATCTGTCTGTCCGTATGCCCATCTGTATATACGCGAACTAGTCAATCAGTTTACGAGATATTGATCTGAAATTTCGTACCCGTTCTTTTCTCCCCAAGATGCTGCTCATTTCGGAACAGATATCAGAATACTATAGCATACAGCTGTCATACAAATTGAACGATCAGAATCAAGTAATGGTAGAGACAACTTTTTTATTAGACAAGATATCTGCACAAAATTTTGGACGGATTATTACCTAAAGCATTACTACTGAACAAAGTGTTTAGATCGGACGATTATAGCATATAGCTATCATACAAGTTGAAAGATCGGAATCAAGTTCTTATGGAAAGCTTTTTTATCTGACAAGATTTCTCTACAAAATTTGGCACATATTATTTCTAAAGCAGTAGTACAATATATGAATAAATTTCTTAAATCGGACTACTATAGCATATAGCTGTCATGCAAACCGACCGATCAAAATCAAGCTCTTGAATGGAAACGTGTTTATTTGTGAAAGGTATTCTAGCTTCGGTGCAACACAAGTTAACGTTTTTTCTTGTTTTAAGGAAAATTTAAGTTGAGATCCGCTATATTTTGCCCGCTCATACTAATCGACTAAAGCTTGTTAAGCTTCCAAGTGTTGCAAGTTATAAGAAAATGTTTGTTGTAATTTTCAAGACAAACCACTGGAAGGCTCAAATCCACACCTTTATTCCTGAAGTTGATATTAATGTTTCTTTTAAGGTATGGAACTACTTCGACTAGCCAACCTTGAGAACTGGTAAACCAAATCTGGATTTGATGACTGACGTACGAAAACTATAGTACGTTTGTTATACCTGATTCACTTCTTCACATAAGGAAACAGCACTGGTTTCTCTCAATTAACGATAAACGGTAGTTCAAGGTAACTTTAATTTATATAATTTCAAATCCAATTAGCTACAAATTTTAGTGCATAATACATATGTAGAAGAAAATGAGAAAATATAAATTGAGGTTAATTTAAAATGTTGGTAGTAACTCCATAAATTCGGTTACTCGTCCACTTGGGGCTGTGCAAAATGAAGCAAAACGTGCGTTTTCCTAAACTACACTTCCACAATTTGTTTCGCATTAACTTTGTTGTTAGTATAAAATTAAGCAAATATTTGCAATAGTAGCAAAAACCAGGCATGTTGCGATATCCCAAATTAACCGTTAAGTAGACGCAGCACTACACGATTACACACTTGGAAATAAACTACTGAAATATGCTTGAGTGTGTTTATATATTTGTATGTGTGGAGATACATATGTATGTAAAAACAACACCGTTGGGAACACGCAGCAATGCCGTTACTCTGTTTAGTTGTATATATGTATGTGTCAGTTTTTATGTGTGTATTTATTGGTTTATGTTTCTGCTTGCACTAGCCTTGCTTATATTATTATTTATTCGCATTTTTTGGTCGAGTGCAGCAATATATTTATAACACGCCACAATTAATTACACTTTAATTTGACAATTTATTTACACAATCGCCAATGTACAGCACACATGCCACCAGCACATGATATTTTTAAGTGGAATCCAAAAGGATCTACACTGCACACGACATTTCCATAGGCTTTTTATATTCGCACAAATGACGCTAAACAGCACCGTTAGTTGAGTTTAGAGCAATTACAGTTGCGGATTTGCAGCATTGAATGCTATCGTGGATCAATATATTGATTATTTGAAAGAAAAAAGGAAGTTTAATTTATATACATAAATTTCTTTTTATAAATTCGATGATCCGCTTCAATAAAAAAAAATGTATATGTTATATATATGTATATTATCTTCTTTCTTTTCTATTTTGCCGTGAGTTTTTAATAAACGCTTATTATTGAGTTTAAAGTACTCTCCATTCAATATTTTTTGTTAGTTGAAACGATTGGTAGAACTTTTTTTGAACTAAATATAAACTTAGGCGCTGAAACAAGTCACGATCAGGGTCAAAAGCAGTTGTATATACTACTAAAATCCGATGAATTGGAATTTCCCATAAAATTCCTGGCATACACTTTTTTTTATATAAATATTGGCGAATCTGTGATAAGTAAATATTTTTTCGATTTCGCTTTCCGCTTCGTACTTCACAATTTAAAACTTTTTACACCAATACTAGTATAAGCTTATAGATATAGAGCTTGCAGCACTTCGTACACACTCCACCAATACACAAGCGTCGAAACTATTAAATATTATATGAAAACTGCGACAACCTTCGATAAACACACCTGAGAGTGGAGAATGGCGAACATATACACGCGCGTCTACTTAACTCCACAACGGCTTACATATATTACACTTGTATATATGTGTGTACGTTTGAGTATAACTACTCCACATTACTTCTTTCCAATTCCTCAAAGTATTTTATATTATTACTCTGCTTCTTCTAGCCCACGCAGTTATAAAATTCAGTAAGCAAGACACGACCATAACAGCGAAACTTAAGCAACAAACTGTTGTCGTTGTTTGGAAGTTTTCAAGTCGGCAGCGTTCAAGTCACTAAAAGCCTTCAACAGGGACCAAGCGACCTCGAACAGTAAGTGCTAGGACGAACCGCAAGAGGGAGAGAACTGCCTGTGAGAGCGCACTTTAATGCCTACAAGGTGTCGATGAGGGGAAAGTAGCGATTATTGTTTAGCGAAAGCTTTAGCGGCGCTTTGCGTGACTAACTGTTGCTTACTGGCCCAAAAGCTCGCAATGCTGAGCGTAAAATGTAGTCGCGGAGCGAGAGAGTAGCAAACTTGTTTGAAAAATGTGTGCGCAACAAACAAAGTTTGGCTGTTATAGGAGAAGAATGAGAACACTGTGAGAAAAAAATTTTGGAAATGCAAAAAATGAAAATTTTTGGAGAATAAATATAATATTTTTTTAAAGTAAAAATGGTAGAATTAAATACAGATTTTATACTACTTCTTACATAAATGTATACGCATATGTATTGTTTATATGTACGTATCAATGTGGGTGCTTGTCACTTTGACAATTGCATATCGAAAGCATGACAGCAATGTCAACCAATTCACTTCCCCATTTCCCTTCGTTGCCCACATGTTAGAGTGTTTGCATACAATATGGACGCGTCGCGGGGGATATCCACACAACATTTGCATTTACTCGCGGTTTGCTTCACTTTGTCGTGCTTTCTCACACTCGCATTGACGGTTGCTCATCGTTTGCAAGCTTTTTGTTCACAAAATTTGTTGTGTGTGCAAATCGGTGTGAGATGCTTGAAGGAAACACGTGAGCTTCAAAATCGGTTCGGATGCATTTCGCAGCAATTATATACTCGTTCTCTTTTTCATCTTAGTAGCTGAGGAATTTCTTTCCAGTTATTATACATTTTTTTCAAAGTTAAAGATTAGGCCAAGCAGTCGCTAGGTGTAAATCTTAATCGGAACATTTTTTGGAGGACTGCGAATAACCAATATTCGCTGGGAGCAAAAAAAAATTTTAGGTTGGTTATGTTTAAACATGACCTAACACTGCTCAGAATCATCAACACGTTGCTGTTTTTGGTCAACTATCAGCAAATGCGGCACCCATTTTGAACAGAGCTTTCTCATGGACAAATGCTCATGCAATATAAAGCCAACACGTTCTTTTGATATCCTTTCAATGTCAGCTACTTGTATATCACGCAACTTCACTTTCCTCATTCAAAATGATTTTGTGGATTAATTTTATGTTTTCTGGTGTTACAGCCTTATTTGGACGCCCACTGCGGTTTCCATCAATGGTGTTTCACGACCACTGAAATCAGCAAACCAACGTTTTGTTGCGGTTTCCGATGGTGCCGAATCTCAATTGCTTCACTTGAACGGTATTATTGCCCATCAAGAAGCAGTGTAAAATTAAAACACGAAATTGTAAAATTAGAATGTCATGAAATTTTAACAGCTGTCTTTCGAAGGTTAGTACTAACTAGCGTCATCTTTGTGTGAGGTCCGGTCATTTTCGGCCCATGTGTTAGGATTCGTAACGCAATGGATATATCTATATTTAATTTATTGTTCGCTGAAATTTATGGGATTTGAGCTTGTACAATAATATTTTTGACTTTTTATTCTCTAATTTGGTGGATTTTATATTGTTAAATCAGTAGTTTAATTTATGGTTGTAAATTGGTACTTCTTTATTTTACTTTAATCTACTCGTTTCAAGTAAAACCAAAGTTCTCTGTGTTAAAGCGAAAACAGATATCTACGGAAATTGAACTTAATATATTCATTTAAAAACCTTATTTTTTCGTCAAACATTCAGTGCTTTAGGACTAGTTGAAGTAGAGATATTGCCCATATATCCAAATCCCAAATATCATCACTTATTGCAAATGTGTGAGACTGTTTAAGAAAGATCAGAAAGGGAGCATTGCAATGGGCGTATCTAAACGGTAAATGTTAAACGGATAATGCTTAGTTCGAGCTCTCAAACAAGGGTCCTCAAAAACTGAAAATTTGGAACTTTATACTAGGCGTATACAAAAAGAATTTGAATCTCTGTATTCAAGCGTATAAAGAAAATTATATTGATATTTTTATTAAAAAGTTACACTAAGATGCCAATCTTCAGAACATTTTTCTAAGAATTAGTGCTCTTAGACACGAATGATAGATACGATATTACGCCAACCGCCGTAGTTCTTTTGAGTTGAGAAGAAATATAAATTGGAAACACAAACGATAACACTACGTAAATTCGAGAAATATACTTAATTTATTAGTTTATAGCGGAAAAGCTTTAGTGAAATGAGTGGAATAATGTTGCGGGCAAATATTAGGTCAAGTAAAAAGTTCGTTCGGTTTTTATTTAAGAGATGGCGTTATTGTCCATAGTACTAGTGTTACGTGTCGCATCATGTCATACTATACGGCGCTGAAAACGTGTTTATTCGCGCTAAAAGTTTGTCCTTGACAGTTTTTCGCCAAAGCGGCTAAAAAAATTAATTTAGTTTATGGGTCCGATACTGTAAACGAACGTGTAGCACAAAAGTGATTTGCTAGGTTCCGTTCCGGTAATTTCGATGTCAAAGATGCACCACGCGTCGGGAGGCCTGTCGTCGAAAATTGCGATAAAATCATGGAAATAGTGGAAACAGACCATCACGTGAGCACTTATTTAATTGCTGAGGAACTAAAGATAAGCCAGAAAACCGTTTGGAACCATTTGCATAACCTTGGATTCAAAAAGAAGATCGATGTTTGGGTGCCACACGAACTAACGCAAAAAACATGATGGACCGAATTTCCATCTGCAAATCGCTGCTGAATCGCAACAAAATCGACCCGTTTCTCAAGCGGATTGTGACTGGCGATGAAAAATGGGTCACTTACGACAACATCGAGCGCAAACGGTCATGGTCAAAGCTCGGGGATGCGGCCCAGACCGAATTGACGGCCAGGAAGGTTTTGCTGTGTGTTTGGTGAGATTGGCAAGGAATCATCTTCTACGAGCTGCTCCTCTATGGCCAAACGCTCAATTGAGCCCTCTACTGCCAACAACTAGACCGCTTGAAGGCAGCACTCATCCAGAACAGGCCATCTATGATCAACAGCGGTCGAATTGTGTTCCATCAGAACAATGCCAGGCCACACTCGTCTTTGGTGACGCGCCAGAAGCTCCGGGAGCTCGGATGGGAGGTCCTAATTCACCCACCTTATAGTCCGGACCTGGCACCAAGTGATTACCATATTTTCCTGTCCATGGCGAACGCGCTTAATGGTGAGAAGTTGGCCTCAAGAGAGGCCTGTGAAAACTAGCTCTCCGAGTTTTTTGCCAATAGGGACGCAGCCTTCTACGAGAGGGGTATAATGAGGTTGGCATCTCGTTGGCAACAAGTTTACGAACAAAACGGATATTTGACTTAAATCGGACAAATGTACACAAAGTTATCATCTTTTGAAAAATCAATAAAAAACCGAACGAACTTTTTACTTTACCTAATATTTTCGTCATTTTCAAATAAATACCTTTATCTAATGACAACATTATTGCTAACTAAGTAAATTATTAAAAATGATTGTGATTCCGATGTATTCAGCAGTAGTTTATTTTATTATGCATAAAATATACAGTTCCCGGGGCTTAGGTAGAGAAAGTGTTAGTGGAAGGTTGTGTGAAAAATCTATCCTAATTATTAAAGATAATTTAATTGTAAAAGAGTCCTCATAAATTAAAATTTTACAGTCTACATAATCTGAAATTAGTGGATCCTTTCTGATAATTCAAGAAAGCCAACAAAGCATAAAATCTAAGACTTAAAGTGAAAAAGAAAGAAACTTAACACATAAAAGGTTGGGTTTTTTAATCGGTAAATCACAGCTGAACAATATAGGTAAAACAGTTCACATAACAGCGCTGGGTAATCCAGAAGTCACAAAAACACCCAGCCGCACGGCGGGAAACTCAAAACTAAATGCCACAGGCATTAAACAACCAACGAAAATCGACATGTACACAATAAACACTAGAAGTACGCGTCAGGCTGGAACTAACAAAAATGATGCCACAGGTATTGAAAAATCGCTCAATGTAATCATGGGAGAACTACAGAAAATAAATGACAACATGGCGAAAAATAAAGAAGAAATTCAAATGGAGTTTAAAAAAGAAATTGATGAGCTGAAGAAAAACGTTGAGGACAAAGATAAAAAGTTGGAGGCAGAAAAAAACCTTTTGTGGGAACACATTGACCAGATGGAAGATAAAATTAAAAAATTGACAGAAGGTGTACCGGAAAAACTATCGGAAGAAGAAAACAATCAATTGAAAGAGGAAAAAGAGAAAATTCAACAGCAGCAGGCAAGAATTATCGCCGAAATTGAGAAAATGGAGCAGCTAAAGCAAAAACAGCTGAAGATTGAGAAGAAAAACAACATTCTCATTAGAGGTCTAATAGACACAGATGATGATCCGAAGAAAACGACTGTAAGGTTTATAGAAGAAAAGTTTAAAGTGAAGGTAGATGCTGCGGACATGTGGCTACAAGGTAAAGATAAAAAGGTGGTGATTGTGAAACTGAAAAAATGGGAAACCAAAGAGGAAATCATGAAGAATAAAAAAGTGCTAGTAAGTACGAAAAATTTCATTGAAAACGATCTAAAACGTTAAGAAAGAGAAGTGCAGTGGAGAATAGCTCAAGAAGCGAAAGAAATAAGAAAAAACAATCATACTGTTAAAGTAGGATATAGAAAAATGTGCGTCGACGGAAAATGGCTCTCGTGGCAACAAATAAAATTTAATATAGAAAAGGGGGATTCTTAATAGACTGGGCCAATGAAACAGGAGGCGATGAGTTCAAAGTGGTGTTTTGGAATGTTGCAGGCTTAGGTAAAAAAAATGCGGCTTTTTAGAGTTTTTTAGACAATATGATGTAATCGGTTTAACTGAAACATGGGTAGAAAGTAAAGGATGGGAAAAATTAGCTAAAAGACTCCCGAAAGAGTAGGAGTGGAAGTGTAAAGCAGCGAAAAGAGAAAAAAAGAAAGGGGGAGCTAGTGGTGGTATAATAACTGGGGAAAGAAAAGACATTGTACTTAAAGATAATAATTTTGAGTTTGATGGGGCGGTGAAAAATGTTGTCAAAATAGGGGATGATAAGTGGGTAATATGGACAGTCTACAATCAAGGTAAAATTAAAAAAGTGCTAAAAAATATATGTGAGGAATCAGAACAGGGGAAAATAATAGTAGGTGGTGATCTCAATGCAAGAACAGGTCACAAAGGTAGCTTATATGCAGGACCCGAAGAAGAGGGTATACAAAGACAATCAAAAGACAACAAGTGCAACGCAGAAGGTGAGCTACTAATTAGTATTATAGAAGAAGACGGGTGGTGTGTGCTGAATGGAAACACAATG